TTCGGCGCCGTTGCCGGGGAATACAGTTTTTAAAATTACTAAGTAGTGTGTGCTTTATTTTACTTCTTTTTCAATTCCATCACATTTGCTTGTTTTGTTCAGTGTAAATAGGGCAGCATGGGCAAGCCGAAGAATGTGTTTACGGTTATGGATGAATATATTACCTTCAAAGTGGACCATAATCTATACCTAATGATAAATGTGGATGGGTTCTTCCGAAATTCCACTGACGATGATCCAACATAACATCTCAAAACTTTTGTGGCTGTGTGTGCGATGCATAAGCAGAATCATGTTTTAGATGATGCCTTAAGGTTGAGGGTGTTCAAATACTCTTTAGTCGGAGAAGCAAGGCAATGGATTCATTGTCTACCTCCTAACTCCATCCACACTTGGGTCAAACTTGTGCATGTCTTCCTAGGGAAATAGTTCCAACAAAGCCAGAAGTCCAAACTTCGGGACACAATTTTCTTCTTCAAGCAATTACCAGGGGAATGACTACTTGAAGCATGGGTGGGATTCAAGCAATATTTTGTGAGATCACCGAATCATGGGTTTCTGAAAAATATTTTGTTGGAGAAGTTTTACACGGGTTTAGATCCTATGAACCAGTCCGTAGCCAACAATGCAACTAATGGATCATTCATGGAAAAAACAATTGCAAGAGTCACTCAAATACTCGACAAGGTGGCCGAACACACCCAAGCTTGGCATTTGGGCGACACGCCGGGTGGAGTCTCATATGGTACCCCTTATTTGACCAACATTGTCAAGGAAAATCAAGAAAGAGATCAATTGATTGCCGGACTTGATAGCAATGTAAATGTTTTGACAAAAATATTTACGGAAAGCCAAACAAAAAAGTGAATGGTGTGGAAGAAGTACAACCAATGTCAAATGTCAACTATCAACATCAAGAAGGACGACATCAAGATTATACTCCAATGCAATATGAAGAAGCAAACTATGTTAACAATTCACAAGGAGGATATCAAAGACAAAAATACCAAAGGTCGGGATAACAACATCCATAGAGACCTAACCCACAAGGGAAAGGTAACCAATAATGGCGAAATTACCAAGGTAGTTCAAATCAAGGAAATTGGAGCAACAACAACAACAATTTTGCAATCAGAGTTTAAACCCCTATTTTCCACCAAAGGTCCAATGCTCTAACTCTCAACATTGGAGGGAGAGTTCTTCAAGCGACCAAAGTAATGCCAAATTAGAGAACATGCTTGAAAGAGTATTGCAAAATCAAGAGAGGTCCGCCACTTTAATGAAATGAGCTTGTGGGTTATCACACCGCATCTATTTAAAAGTTGTATATGCAAATGAGAGATCTTTCAAGAGAACAAACCCCAAAACTAAAAGGCACACTCCCAAGTGATACAATTCCGAACCCAAAGGGTAGTGGGGGTGTCCATACCTCTCATTGCATGGCCATTACAACTCGAAGTGGGAAACTACTTCAAAGTGAGAGTGAACATGTGATCGAAGTGGAAGATGTTGAACAAGAGGATGAGGCACAAGTTAAAGTGCCTAATGTTGTTGAAGTTGAGAGAATTTCAAAGAAGGTAAAGGCTCAAGATTTGATCCATGAAAAGGTTGAAGAAAAAGTAATAGAGGCACCAAAACCTCTAGCACCGATTCCTAGATCCCCCCTCCATTTCCTCAAAGACTAGCCAAAAGAGTTGATGATAGCAAGTTCGAGAAGTTCTATGATATCTTAAAGCAATTATCGATGAACATTCCATTTGTGGAAGCTTTTCAAGAGATACTCGGTTTTTCTAAATACTTGAAGGATTTTATCAAAAAAATAAGACTATTAAGAATTAAACGGTGAGTGTCACCCACCGGATTAGCTCCATCATTTCAACAACTACAGTCCAAAAGAAAGAGAATCCGAGGGCTTTCACCATTACATGAACTATTGGATTGCGTGACTTTGCAAGAGCTCTTTGTGACAATGAGGCTAGCATAAACTTAATGCATCTTGCTAAATACAAGAAAGTGGGATTGGGACTGCCTAGGCCTATGAGTATGAGATTGCAAATGGCCGACCATTCGGTGAAGTGACCGGTGGGGATAGTGGATGATGTGCTTGTGAAAGTGGGGAAGTTTATCCTCCCCGCTGACTTTGTTATTCTTGATTGTGCTATTTATAAATAAATCCCTATCATCTTAGGGAGACCATTCCTTACAATCGAAAGAGAACTCATGGACTCAGAAAGAAATGAGATTAAATTTCTGGTTAATGACGAAGAAGTTACCTTTCAAGCAAGTAAGGGCATGAAATTGCCAAATTCATTGAGAGTATCTTGGTACTTGATGTTGTTGATGTGTTATAAGATGCTATTGAGGTGAAGATGGCAGAGGAATTCCTTGGTGAGTCATTGACGGTGATCTTGATGAACTTTTATGGTGAGGACATAGAAGGTTATGTGGGAATGATGAACACATTGAAAGGGTTCGGGTCATACACTTACGAACCAAAGAAGATTTCTCTTGACTTGGAAAATAGAGTTACTCCTCCCACTAAGCCTTCAATCGTTGAGCCTCCACAACTTGAGCTCAAGCCACTATCACCACACTTAAGGTATAAACTTTTTGGCTCTAATGACACTCTACCCATAATTGTTTCTTCTTTGTTTGATGATGTGTAGGTTGAGAAATTATTTGACACCTTGAGGGAGCATAGACGATTCCTGCCGGTATTTGTGAGCACAAAATCTAACTTGAAGAATATAGAAAACCTAGTGTGGAACATCAAAAAAGGTTGAATCCCTCCATGCAAGAAGTGGTAAATAAAGAAATTATAAAATGGTTGGATGCCGGGGTTGTTTACACCATTGCGGATAGTCCTTGGGTGAGTCCAGTGCAATATGTGTCAAAGAAAGGAGGCATGTCCGTGATTCAAAATGACAAAAATAAACTCATTCCAACAAGGATGGTGACCGGGTGGAGAGTTTGCATGGACTACCAAAAGCTCAGTAGTGCCACTTGCAAAGACCATTTCCCTATGCCTTTTATTGATCAAATGCTTGATCGGCTAGCGGTAAGGTCATTTTATTGCTTCTTGGATGGTTATTCCCGCTACAACCAAATCAACATAGCCTTGGAGGACCAAGAGAAGATGATATTCACTTGTCCTTATGGGACCTTTGCTTTTAGCCGGATGCCATTTGGGCTATGCAATGCCTCGTCCACCTTTCAACGGTGCATGATATCGATTTTCTCAGACATGGTGGAGGATTTATTTGAGGTGTTCACGGATGAATTCTCTGTGGTTGGTGACTCATTTGAAAATTTTCTTGACAATCTTAGACAAGTATTCAAAATATACGAAGAAACCAATGTTGTGCTGAATTGGAAAAAATGTCACTTCATGGTGGAGGAAGGTATTGTTCTTGGCCACAAAATCTCCAAGCAAGGCATTGAGGTTGATCGGGCAAAAATTGAAGTTATTTCCAAGTTTCCTCCTCCCACTTTGGTTAAGGGTGTTCGAAGCTTTTTAGGGTATGCGGGTTTCTATCAGCGATTTATCAAAGACTTCTCAAAGATTGCGAGTCATATGTGTAAGCTTCTTGAAAAGGAGGCTAAATTTGTGTTCGATGAGAAGTGCCTCAAAGATTTTGAAGACTTGAAAGTAAAGCTCACCACAACATCTATTATTGTCACACCTGATTGGTCTCTTCCATTTGGGCTTATGTGTGATGCCGGTGGTGTAGATATTGGGCCAATGCTTGGTTAAAGGCACAAGATTCTACACGCTGTCTACTATGCAAGCAAGACACTCAATGGCGCGCAAATGAATTACATAGTGACTGAGCAGGAATTGCTTTCCCTATGACTTTGAAAATTTTGGGCCTATTTGTTGGGATCCAAGGTGATAGTCTTTATTGATCACGCAACTCTCCGCTACCTTATGGCGAAGAAAGATGCCAAATCAAGGTTTATTAGGTGGGTCCTGTTGTTGCAAGAATTTGACTTTGAAGTCAAAGATTAGAAAGGAATGAAAAATAAAGTCGTGGACCACCTATCTAGGCTTGAAGAGGTAGGGAGACCAAAGGGAGATATTGAAATCAATGATGCCTTACAAGATGATTAAAATTTTGCAATGTCTAGCACTTCAATTCCTTGGTATGCTGATATTGCTAACTTCTTAGTTAGTGGCCTTATTCCCGACGATTTGGAAGCTTATAAAAAACAAGGTTCTTATGGGATTGTAGGCAATACTATTGGGAGGAACCCTTTTTTGTTACGGATATGCTACGACAACATCATTAGGCATTGTATTCCGGAAGATAAGGTGACGCCGATTCTCAAAGCGTGCCATGACTCGTCAATTGGGGGTCACCACAGTGGAAACCGTATGGCAGCAAAGGTTCTTGAATGTGGCTACTATTGGCCATCAAAATACCAAGACACAAATTTAATGGTCAAGGCATGTGATCAATGTCAAAGACAAGGGTCAATTTCTAGAAGGCATGAGATGCCTATTAATTTTGTGATGGAAGTAGAGATCTTTGATGTGTGGGGGACCGATTTCACGGGTCCCTTTGTGAGATCATATGGCATGAAGTATATCTTGGTAGCATTGGAATATATCTCAAATAAGTCGAACAGTTTCCGTGCCAAACAATGAGGCAAGGAGTATAACTGCCTTCTTGACGAAGAACATATTTACTCGATTTGGAACCCCACGGGCCATCCTTAGTGATAGTGTATCTCACTTTTACAACAAAACCTTTGCGGGGTTACTCGAGAAATATGGAGTTAAGAACAAGGTGGCCACTCCGTATCATCCTCAATTAAGTGGTCAAGTTGAAGTCTCCAACCGACAAATCAAGAACATTCTAGCAAAAACTGTTAATGCAAACAGAACCGATTGGTGAAGAAAGCTAGATGACGCTCTTTGAGCTTATCAGACAGAATTCAAAACATATATTGGAACCTTGCCTTACCATTTGGTTTTTGGTAAGGCATGTTACTTGCCTATGGAACTAGAACACAAAGCCATATGGGCATTAAAAAAGTTGAATCTTGACTTGGCTGAAGCTGCTAATATAAATATGACACAACTCAATGATATGTATGAGTTCCATTTCATAACCCATGAGAGTGCATTCATTTATAAAGAAAGGATGAAGTCTGCTCATGATAAGAAGATCTTGAAGCTGGAATTTCAATCTGGCGACTTGCTCTTACTCTTCAACTCAAGGTTGAAGTTCTTTCTGGCCGAGCTCAAGTCCAAATGGTCTACCCCATTCAAAGTTGTTAGTGTGTCTCCTTATGGCGCCGTTGAATTAGAGTCCGAAGATGGGACTCGAACCTTCAAAGTAAATGGCCAAAGGGTGAAGCACTACCTTAGGACTATTAGAGAAAGGCAGTTGGTGGAACAATTCTAACTGAAAGATGGTCCGGTACCAACCTCCACGACTGATTTGCAATGAAGAGGTAACATAGTCATTCCGCGACGTTAAATCAAGCGCTTCATGCAAGGAACCCCATGTGTTAGAATGTTTTTAGATTTTTATTTTTGTATGTTTATGTGGTTTTGTTGAACATTTGATGTGTGTGTTTTAGAGTGCAGGGTACTCAAAATGCAGATAAGTATAGATGCATAGGGAAAGTGAAGAAAAATTAGCTGAGCTTCAGATGTTTTTCTGCGGCCACAAATGCGACCGCATAATGGTTTCGCGGGCCGCATATTGGTTGTGGATGTAGTTAGAAGCTCCCAAAAACAAGTCGCTCAAAAATGCGGTGGAAGGTCAACTTTGTGGATCACTTAAAGGTTATGCGACCACAAATGAGATTGCACATTGGACAAGCTCATACTAGGTAAAAATCCATTGCAAAATGCTTCTGCGACCACAAAAGCTATTTCACGATAGCTAAGGCGTTGCATATTTCACAGGTATTAAAACTCCACTCCCTTGCTATTTTACCACTTCCGATTTCCCACACTATGAGTTTGAACAAAAGAAAACCAAAATAAAGAGGGCTTGAACACATAACACATTCCACAGAGAGAGCTTAATCACCAAACCTTCCATTCTCCTCAAACGAATCTGGTAAGACCTTCTTCATATTTTGCTCTTTTGTATTTAATTTGACTCATAAAAGTTTCCCCCTCTTCCATGATCCTCATTCTCTCTACCCTTTTCATTGAATTAACTGAGAATCTCTCGCCGAGATTTCTTCTCAGTGTTGCCACGTAATGGATGGTCATTGGGGGTGACTGCTAAGTCAATATTGTGGGGTTAAGGCAAAGGTTAGTGGTTGTTTTGATTGTTGATAATGCCCATTAGGTATTTGAGTATTGCCGTTGAAATCTCTCAACCGTGGGTTGTTGTGTGTTGATTTCATGAATTTCTGTAGTGCCCATGTCGTATAGGGTAGAACTAAAAGTCTAGGGTTGCATGTGTGTATTGTCTCAGTGAAGACGATGACTTCTGCGGTACTGCACAATTGATTCGCGATCATCAGAATGATCGCATTTCTGAGGAAAATTGTGTGCTTTTGGTGTGTTTACTATGCGGTGGATTTTGCGATCACGAAAATGGTATGCGGACCGCAAATTCGTCACACATGTTAACATGAGCGAGGTAATTTCGAGGTTAAATCTGCCTTGATTTCGCGGTCGCAGATTCATTCTGCGACAATTTAAGCTGTCTGCACAATATGTTGGCCATTTGATTATTCATTCTGCGGTACATTTTACGGTCCGTAGATCTGTTTTGCGAACGGATATGCGGTCCACATAATGTGTTTTCCACTACATTTCCTTATCATATTCCATGAGTGTTTCTACCATATGCTAACTTAACTTTCATTGGCAGGAATGGCACCAAAGAAAACACAACCATCCACAACACCCACCACAAGAGGAAAAAAATGGGTCGGAGTTACATATCCAAAATTAAAGTAGCCCCAACCTAAAAAGCCCTGCACATTGGTCAGATAATTCGAATCCTTCTCCTAGTCTGAAGAGGAAAGGGCACCACTTGACCCAGTGCCACCAGTCGATCCTTGCACTAAAAAGGAAGAATTCTGAGGATAAACTCAGGTTCAGTATCGTTGGATCCTGGAATAAATACAGAGCCACATTGGAAAAAAGGAACATCCTCGAAGAGAAGCAGCTGAGTGTGAACGGACTTAAAGAGAACTACCCGCATATAGTAGAATACATCAAAAAGAGGGAATGGGAGTTCTTTACTGAGCCTTAGGGGGAATACAACGAGGTACTTGTCAGGGAATTCTATGCTGCCTCATTCACTAAGAAACAAGCAAGGCACCGTGCTTACTTGTCATCAATTATAGTCAGAGGGGTTGAGGTATCTTGTGGACCCACAACAATCAATCATTACTATTTTGAGGATTAGGACGGGGGCACGACAGAATTTGATGCAAAGATGGCATGAAAGGAAGATGAGTGCGGTTGGGTGGCTTCCGTCATTAGCACAAGGAACACCGGCCTAGATTGAGCCAAGCCATAAAATTCAACAGAAAGACCTCACCCAAGAAGGCCAATATTGGCTAAGTTTTGTTTGTTCTCGCTTACAGCCAACAAAAAATAAAACTGACATCAACATAGAAAAGGCTATCTTAATTCCTTCAATCATGTCAGGATTCAAGATCGATGTGGACAAGCTCATCTTCATGGAGATTGGTATCCGAGCAAACCAAAAAAACTTCGCTTCCCTTTTCGTGCCTCATCACTGCCTTATGTAAAAATGCAGAGGTTTCACCAATTCCCCGGTATGGCCGTAGGGTAGAGGCCACCCAAGACATGACATTAATAGGTCCTAACCACCCTCCACCACTTCAGAGAGTATGCCCGCAGAACAACCAGTTATCCTCCCACTGGCTTCATCTACTTCAGCAACACCTGCAACCTCCACCTCCACACCTAGGCCAACCACAACATCAATACCCAGTCTGGCCACTACTACACCACCTATTTCACTACCTTCCATTTTCAAGCTTGGTCTACTGACACAGAACACTAATGCCAAAGTGGATAAGCTTGTGAAAGATCTTCCACTTCTCATCAGGCAAGCTTTGGCACCACTCCAAGCATCAGTGAGTGATCTTTAGAAGAAACGTATATATTATGAAGATCGACTCCAGAACTTTGAAGCTCGCCTTGAAAAAGGTTGAGCGAGGTGGATATAGGGACATGCCTCAACTGAAAAAGGATGTTGTCAATCTTAAGTTGGGGATGCACAAGATGCAGACCTTGGAGTTAGACCTCACAAACCTTCTCCCGATAAAGGAGGAGCATGGCACTGGCACCTCCTACACACCGGAACTTGCTTTGGACTTCACAAGCCTTCTCTCAGTAGAGGAGGAACATGATATTGGCACCTCACAGGCTCCGGAATCTGTTGCACACACTGATGACCATTCAGATAAGGAATCAATAGAGTCTCATGAGGAAACAGACGAAGAGCAAGATGTTGAGGAGGTCGATGACTAGATGCCCGACAAAGGTAAATAGGTTGCCTCTACAGAGGACAAAGATGAAGATGAGGTAGATGTGCAGAGGGCCATAGCATATTCCCTTGAAGACATGGCTGCTATGGCTACCACCACTACTACATAGCCATCACCTAGTGAGGCAAGCAACTCACAGATCCAGGACCTAGCTCCGCAGCTTGAGGAGCCAAGTTTGTCACGCCCCAAAACCGAGGAGCGCGACCGGCGCTCAACCGAGTGAACCCGACCGAGCAAGCCTATTACATTTCCTTCTACCCAAACTCATTCATGAATAAAGAGAATATATATGTTTTCGTTAATCAACCAATAAAGTGATCATATTGCAATACCAATTTCTTACCATTAGTTACTTTATTTTAAAGTCTTAATTCCAAACACATTTTTCATAATCTGAAGTGGAAATAGTAATTCAAGCACAACACACGAGTTTGACTTCCCCAGCACTATTATACAACCCACACTATGTTTACGGAGCCTCTATAGATAAAGATAAGTACAATGATAATGCCGGCAATAAGGCCCCGGCTATACTTCAAACACAATACACAAAGAAAAAAGGATACATGACCTCGGGATGAAGTGGGGCTCACCAAGTCAGCTGGGAAGAAGGTGTACTGCTATCACTGATCAATATCTCCTGCTGTGGAACCACCTGCATCCATATAAAGATGCAGCGCCCCCGACAAAAGGGACGTTAGTACCGTCGAATAGTACTAGTATGAAAACTAAACACCAATTTAAGAATTCAGAAATACAAGATGAATATGATGAACCAGTGCAGCAATAGAATAATGTAGATAACCGTTTAAACCAGAGCAAGCTTATTAAGGGCTATCAATAACATTTATTGGATTTAAGATGAGATCCTCTGTAATCATCTTCACACAAAGAGGCCCCGCCGCCTCACCCGATGTATGCAGGTGGAAGAGTAAGTACAATACCACAACTCTAATCAAGCGGCCCTGCCGCCTCACCCCAATGTATGCGGGTGGATA